TTGTGTTTAAGTTGTTTGTCTATCAATTTGTTTTGTTTATCGAGTTGTTTTAATAATCGAGTTGTTATTGAGTCGTTTTGGTGTGTATCAAACTGTTTTGTTTATCGAGTTATAGTTATTTTGATTATCAAGTTGTATTACTTTGTTTTTTTTTTTTTAGCTATTCGTTGATTCGCTACGTGATTCAGATTGTTGCGACAATATGAATAGTTGGTTTTCAATCAAGCTCAATCTCGTTTTTATGCTTTGCAATGTTATGCGGTGCTCAGAATGCAAAATACAACACTTTTTCGTCAAAAGCTAGTTTTTATTCCAATCATGGTCATCTTTTTACAAAAAGTGGAGTACAAGTTTTTCAAGAAAATGAAACTTGTTTGGAACTGTACACTGTGCTAACACCACTAGCAAAAAGAAACTAAGCAAAAACATATAAATCAGCGCCAGCTATGTCCGGCTCGAGAGGCCCTTTTCGTCTTCTTCCTCGGTAGAGCGGACTCTACGGCACTGTCTCCATCGACGCCATTGTCTGAACCTAATGCTGAGTCAGAACAGGAACCGGAGTCGTCGCTTCCCTCTACCTCGGAGCCCTCCTCTGCATCAGCATCATTACTAGCAGAATCTAAGCCAGCGTCTACACTCTTAGATGAATCAACATGTTGACTCACTGTCTCCTTGGCCTCGCTGGTCTTCGTGTCATCCTCGCACAGAATAGGCTCTAAAGGGCCACTCTCGGCTCGGGCGCTCCTAGCTCGGCCCTAGCCGCGTGCAAGAACCTGTCTCTCTCTCCCTGCTGCTGGAGGGGGTGCTGATGGTCCTGCTACTGCTGCCACCGGTGTTGTCAGTAAAGGTAGGACCTGAAAAGACAGTTGGTACATGTCAGCTACAATATGTGATGCAGTGTACAGAATGGATTCAGGTGCAAAGTATAGAATATAGTGTGAAAATGCAGAATTCAGATGCAATGTATTAGTGCAGTGTGGTTTAGATGTAGTGTGGAAAAATTTTCAGTTGAAATGTCAGTTTCAGTGTATCAGTGGAATTGTGATGACCGGAATGCAAAAGAATTGAAGAAATTACCTGAATGTCGTGGAAGACGAGTAGTGCCTTCCTTCTCAAAATCATGCTCTCAAATGAGGCCAATATCTCGAGCAATCCCTCGACGTACCCTGGGGGTGCCTGGGAATGCAATTTGGAATGATTAGTGTCCAAAAGGAATGAATATCTGAGTATCTGAGCAAGAATGGAAAAAATGAGAACTGTAGTGCATACCGGAGGTGAATCAGGTGCTCTGACATATCTATGCCCAGCTACTGCGGGCTCGATCGAGATCTGATAAGCCTCCGCAGTATACCGCCAACAGGTAAGCTCAGTAGGCAGCTCTGGCCATCTGGTCCCTTGCCTCACCTGGGAAGTCCCTCTGCCACGGGTTCTGCTCGCCCGAGTCGCTCTGCATCTCACCCTTACGGTAAGAGCTCCTACTCCCTCACCCCCACGAACGCCAGTTAGAGGCGGCATCAGGTGTGTCTAGATAAAGACCGTATAATTTCCCTCTATACCATTACTAGAAAAAGGGAGTATATGATACATAACTTTTTGCGATGGTATATGTTGTAGTCGCAAAAAGCTACTTTTTGCGATGGTTAATATTCCGTCACCAATAGTCACTTATTGCGATGGTAATTTCTATCTCAAAAAGGAAAAAGTATATGTTCAATAGTTTTTGCGATAACAAACCTATGGCCGTCGCAAAAGGCTCATTTTTTGCGACGGTGCTTCTCTCCCAACACAAATATATTTTTTTAATTTTGTTTTTTTGCAATGGGCATTATTGTCCCGTCGCTAATAGCCACAAAAACACCCAAAATTCCTAAATTCTCAAACGCATGGTGCCTCTGATATTTTCGTTTCCTCTCTCTCTCTCTCTCTATCTCCATCTTTCATCTACGAGTTCACTCCGCCGGCATCAGTTTGTTGGTCTACCTTCACCAAGTTAACATCGCCGCCCACTCTCTCTCAATCTCGTCATCGATCTCGGTCAATACATGGATATCACCTCTCTCAGAGCTTTAGGAGTCTTCAACGTTCAATCGATACCTCTCTTTTACTTCCTTCGAAAACCCTAGAGTTTGCAGTTTGCACTCATCTGTTTTCATCTCTCTTTTACTTCCTGCGAAAACCCCAGAGATTGAAGGTAATGACTCTCTCTTTCTGTCGGTTTTAATTTAAGAATTTTGCATTTGATATTTGTATGAATTTGAAATTTATAAAAACCTAGAGCTTGAAGGTAAAGGTTGTCACTTTGCATTCGAAATTTGTATTACAGATTGAAATCCCATAGAATTATAAACTTGTGTTGTTAATTTCAAAGTTCTTTCTCACTTGCACGCCCACACAAATTAATGATCCTAATTGACTTTGTAGCCTATTTAATTTAGGATTGGGTGAATTTGGTTCTATCCCTCATTCTTTCAATTTGTTTGAACTCGGTTTGATGTATCAGGACATAATTTTTTATGCGAATATTAGAAACTACCAGTTCCTAATACAAGTTTTACTTCTTTCTACATGATTAAATCTTATGATTTTGAATCTTCATGTGATTGATAACTTTGTTATTTTTTCTTGTTCTCTCTCATTTTGATTTTGTTATGTTTCATGGGTGAATTTGACTGGGAAGGAATAATTGCTGGTGGGGCAGCTAATGATTCCATTTGTTTATTTGTTGAGAACAAGGACAATTCGGTATTCAATATCTTTCCTCCTTCTCATTTGTATTTTTTCCTAGTTCATAAATCTTCAGCACAATGCGCAACTAGTAATAGAACTGTGTCTGTATTTATTTTTCATTTGATGGTTGAACCAGAGATAAGTCCTTATTTATTTTTGGGCATTTGCCTAAATTTGTTTAAAAACTGATTAGGTTTTGATAATAATCAGTGGGAACAACACAAAGGGAAAAAGAAAAAAACTGAGGCTCTAGTGTTGTTCATTTGCTTGAATTTGTTTAAAAACTGATTACGTTTTGATAATAATCAGTGGAAACAATACAATGGGAAAAAACAGTGTTGATACTATCGGCTACGAAACAGATTTTTGAACAAACAGATTGTTTGTTCAAAATTGTTTTGAACAAACAATACAATGGGAACAAACAGATTTTTTGTTCAAAATCTGTTATTTTGAACAAACAGTGTTGATACAATGGGATTTTGAATAATACAATGGGAAAAAACAGATTTTCAACACTGTTTTCTAGTGTTGGGTATTTGCTTGAATTTGTTTAATGCAACCATGATTCATCTAAAACTAGTTAGGTTTTGATAATAATTAATGGGAACAATACAAAGGGAGCTATTTGCTGTCATTGTTCTCTTGTGAGTGGAACATGTCACAAGACTTCCACTATCTACTTCATTAACCTCAATAACCAAGAGAATGACTTATGTTCTCTAATCCATCTACCTAAGTTTTTAACTCCTGAAACAATAGATTAATACAAGGAAGATATAAAAATCACCTAAACCATTGACATATTGTTGTCTATAAGTTCATTCAAGACCCGCACTTCTTTGTAATTGGAGGTAATGAAGAACAATAAAAAAATGATTGTGGTTGAATGAAGCTATAAGTTCATTTAAGTAATGTTTCTAATTATTGTTCTCCCATTTGATTGCCTCTACTTTTCAGTTGTGTTTTTATATGGATATGGAACCTGACAATGATTGTGGTTGGAAGCCAAAAGTAGGAATGACCTTTGATTCGGAAGAAAGTGCGTACGATTTTTATAATGCATATGGAGGAAGAATGTGATTTAGCATAAGAAGGGAATATTGTAAGAAGAACAAGTTAACAAAACAAATTATTTCTAGAAATTTGGTTTGCAACAAAGAGGGATTTCGGAAGGTTGACAAGCGAGACCCATTGACAAAAACCCCTAGAGCTGAAACTAGGACTGGTTGTGAGGCCCGACTTTTTGTTAAATTCGATGTCAATAGTGGGAAATTTGTTGTGATTGATTTCAAAGAAAAACACAACCATGAACTTGTATCTCTTGATAAGAGGGGTCAAACACCTCCAAACCACAAAATACTCTAAACAAACTATTTAGAGGGCCCAAAAACAGAACTTTTTTATATTATGCACTAAGCTGAAAAACAGTTCTAAGATAGGCAAAAATAGTATGCAAGAGTGGGGTAAAAAGGGATAAGATTGTTACCCTTGAAGACTTTCTTCACAAATGGTGGACCAGCTGGTTCTTCAAGCTCAAAACCACTCAAGAACACCAAGAACAACCCTTTAGAACCTCAGTAGCTAAAGGAAGGTGAAACACTATGTGTTTGTGTGCAATAGTATGGACTAAACACACTAAAACACACACAAGAGGGAAAAAGAGAGAGATAAGGTGTAACAAACCCTAACCCTAGATCTCAAACCCTAACAATGGCTGTCTAAGCTCTCAAAATATCTTAAAATCTCTAACCTCCCAAGCCAAGAGCTCTCTCTCTCTCTATATGGCACTTCTTGTCTTGTAAAGCTTACAAGACAAGCTTCATAAGAGAGAGATCCCTCCATACACGTGTATGGAGGGGAGCAAAAGCAAGACAGCTGTCTTAAAATATCTGCAAAAGCAGATGCACAGTAATCGGCCGGCCAAAAATGCCATCTTGGCCAAAAGAGTGCCGGCTGGCACTAAAAAGTGCTGACCGGCAACAAATAGTGCCGACCGGCAATATATATTGCCGGTGGCAGCAAAAACCAGCCGGTGGCCTTTAGCCACTGCCGGTGGTGGGTGGGGATGGTCTACAAGCCCTACCTTGCCCTTCCAAGGCAAAACACAAGTGTTTGGTGCAAAACCAGACACTAAACGGTCGAGTTCGGAGATCCTGAGGCAAGGCACGCGAGCCGAGGCCTCCGGGAACTCCAAAAGAACACAAACATGGATAATCACCGAGTGTTCAAACGGTGACGTCCAAGTCTTGAGGACGGTCAAAAATGGGGTGTCTACATATATGTTGAACCTATCTTTAGCAATGCAGGGGATACTATTGGTGTGGATTACATGGGAATGGATGTAACTAATCAGGTGAGTTCATTTACAAGATTCAACAGTCTATATTGTGCCATGGTGGTCTTCCACATTAAATTCAACACTACGTAATATTATAAATTGATTTATGACTACCATTTCAAAAATAAAATCTTATTAGCTTTTCTTATGTACTAATCAATGGCTGTATTTCTGAATCACAGAAGAAAGACTTCAGATTCATATTTTGTGAATTACAAGTTAGAGAAACAGTTCATTTTTCATGATATATCCTGTCCAAATGCTGGACTAGATTATATTGAATTTTTATGTTCAATGTTTTGGTTTGACCTATGTTATATGATTCTTTCAATGTCACGGTGCCCTTTTATTCTTCTATTTTTTTTTTTTAAAAAAAAGAAGTAAAAATTTAGAAGTTTTATAGGTCTTTAAACAATATGACAACAAAAAATACAATATGTGCCTTATTACTTGACAGGTGAGAAAAAGGGAAAAGATGGCAAAACTTCAAGAGGAAATAGCAGTACTAAAAGCCAAGGAGATAGAGCTAAATGAAACAATTCATATAACAGGTTTATCTCTTTGATTTATTCTTGGTGGGTTTGAATAAGCATTAGAAGAAAAAGGGTATTCATTTTTTACCAATTGATTCTTCTTGCAGAGGAAACAATGTGAGCAAAACAAATGTTGGCAACCATGTCTCATGAGATAAGATCTCCACTCTCAGGAGTTGTAAGCATGGCTGAGATTCTTTCCACCACAAACCTTGACAAGGAGCAAAAACAATTATTGAGTGTCATGTTATCTTCAGGAGATTTAGTTCTTCAACTTATAAATGACATTCTTGACCTTTCCAAAGTTGAATTAGGTTTGAAGTTTCATCCCTCCCTTATATTTACATGTTCTTATCCTTGTTTACATTGTTTGTATGAGACTTGATCAACATTCTTGGACCAATTCCCTAATCAATTGGTGATCTATCTAACAAGGTATCAAAACTTGCATTCCAGGAGGTCTTAGGTTCTAGTCTTCTTGTATGTATTTGTTTCCTCAATAGTATGCTACTGTGCACTCTTTCATGTGTGTTTGTGAATCATCTATTAATATTTGTTACCCTTTATTCTAGGCGGGGGTGCTTTTTGTAATGGGCAAAAGATTCAAGTGATTCATACTGATAAGGTGAGTGATCATGTTATATCTAGACTATAATGTTTTATTCAATAGGTGACCTTCAATAAGACCCTTTTTTTGTTGGTGGTGGATGTGGAAGTGAGACTGGTTGAGGATGTGCCCAACAACACTCTCTGTTTTATGGCGTTTAGACTCGAGGAATTTTTCTGCGAACTTTACATACTTTCAAACCTTGTGATGAGTTCTTTCCATTATGGATTTTTGAGCACATTCTTTGTGAGCCCCTCTTATCAGTTCCTTCCCCAAGCTCAGTTTATGCAAGGAAAATGAACTAGAAGAAGGTATTTACAACAACAGACTTTATTACAGGATAGTTCAAATGCTTGTGTATATTTCACTTCTTATCTATCTATAAAATTAATCATGTTCCTTCTACTTCTGGAAACGGATCACATTGAAAAAATTGTGTAAAAGTGTGGTGGTTTAGAGCTGAAAGCTGGAATTTTTTTTTTCAGCTCACCTTTTTTCACTTGTTTTCTTAGGTGGAGCAATCATTTCTAGTTACTGGATTTGGGTATGAACATGATGATGCATGGTGTACCAACATAGAGTTATTCAAAGAATTTACTGATGTCAGCCGGGTAATAACCATTTTCTTTCACTTGCTTTACTAATAACTTGCTTTACTTCTTACATCATAGATAGGGTGGAAGATTTTGTGTTTCAAGTTTTTGTAATCTCTCTCTCCATTTTGACATTTATGTGTAGGGCGTGAGAAGGCTTGGTGCTGCTGCAGTGGATATGTGCCATGTAGCTTTGCGAATTATAGAAGCATATTGGGAATATCATCTAAAATCATGGGATATGGCTGCTAGTGTTTTGGTAACATCAATCATTTTAAGAAATATTTATTATTTTTTCTTCTAGATATCAATGAAAGAACTATATATAAAACAACGCCCAATTAGTACACGTTAATTTGTGTTTGGGTGGGGAAAGATTTAGTACACATCTAACCTTTGACATAATGCACAAAGTGGTGGCTCCAAGACTTGAACCCATAACTTTAAGGTTATTACCCCAAGACTTCAAATCCGCCCGTGCCATTTTTCATTTTTTATGTTTTACTACCTTTCTAATTTTACTCGGATTCCTTATGAGTGCACTGAGTCACAATTTTTATGCTTGAATTAGGAATACTATGGTAACTGTTTTAGATGCCAATGTTTTTCAAGAATAGATTGAAAATCTACTAACCTAAGTTGGCTGACCAATTGCCATTTGTATTTTTTTAACACTCATCCTAGCATTCTATTTCACAGCCAAATATGGCAGCCAGGGCTGGATGATATTACTCTCATTATTCTTGGGGCTAACTAATGGTTACCTCACCGTCTGTGTCCTTACATTGTTTGGTTTAGCTATGGAGCTACTTATAATAGTTTTTTTTCTTTTTCTTTTTTTTTTAAAAGTCTGCTAGAGTGTTGATTCATCTTTTGAGGCAAAAATAGCTGAAGTACTTTTAACTTTTGTTTTCTGAACCGGTTGACACACTAAAATGGTTAAACAGCATCAAATGTCAACGAAACTTGACACACACGATTAACTAGGAACAAATGATTTGTAGGAAAAGACGGGACTCAAAACCGATCCCCGGTTTTGAATCTAGAGCCTAATTTCTATTTGTGAAAACTTGTCCTTCAGAAACTCTTTTTCGGAACCGATTGACATACTAAATTGGTCAAACGGCTTCGGATGTCAACAAAACTTAACACATACGACTAACTAGGCACAAATAACTTGTAGGAAAAGATGAGACTCGAAATCGATTTCCGATTTTGAATGTGGAGCTTAATTTCCATTTGTGAACACTTGTCCTTTAGAAATTCTTTTTCGAAGAACAGTTGGAGAAACTCTTGGCAGATACATTGTGTGACGTTTGATTTATGTATATGTTACAATCTTATTTATTTATTTTATGAAATAAATATCAAATGTTTTATATATTTTGTAAGCTTGAAATTAATTATATTATAAATATATATATATATATATATATTTTTGTTTCTTTTTGCAGATACTACCCTTTTGAGTACGTGATGCTATCTTCGCATATCAATATTGGAGTTTACTGTTGATACTAAAACAAGCTGCCAATATATATGTTTTTTTATTTGTATTGTCGATATTTGGTTTCGTTTTAGATACAAATTTGAGTTTTTGAATTATCAAAAAATATTAGTATTGTTAGAGGATGTTTTATATATTTTTGTAAAGAATGTTTGGTTGATATTGTATCGTTACAGGATAAATATATATAATTGTTCGTATATATGATTTTGTGAATGTGAATGTGAATGTGGATGTGTATTAATAATTTGTACAGGGAATGAATTAATAAAATATATATTTAATTTATGAAAAAAAAATTTGCGACAGTAATAAATCATCGCTAATGGAATCATCATTTCTTTGCATTTTATTAGCGACTGGTTAACCTGTCGCATATACATATTAGTTCCATCTTTAGCAACGGTTTAAATTGTCGCGAATACATTATTGATTTAATTCTATTTTTTTGCGACGTATAAGACCGTCGCTAATAATGCTTTTCGCGATGTCATCCTAAAGCGTCACTAAAAGAGATTTTTTTCCCTTTCTTTGTGTCAAGTTAAATCGTCGCAAAAACCATTGATTTACCGTCGTTACAGGAAAGCGACGGTTTGTAACCGTCGCAAATACCTTTTGTCATGCCCCCTTCCGCCACCCCCCATTTCCCATCGCCACTCCGTCGTAAAAAGTCTTTTGCGACGGCATATGCACCTTTTGCGACGTTTACGATCGTCGTAAAAGCTCCAGTTTTTAGTAGTGTATGGAAATACTCGACCTCCAGCCCTACCATAAATTGGATCACTTCGTCGGTAGACAGGCTGTGTCTCGCTCTCATGGACGCTGGAGGTGTCATTGGTATGAATGGGGCAGACAGGCCCAGAGTCTGACGGACAAAGCGCTCACCTAAAAACCAAGCTCGGCAAATCGGGCCCTCAAGAAGAATGTGATGATAGGTAACGATCTGAGCTGCATTGTACCAGGCTCGAAGCTCTGTCGTTATCGTAGCCTAGGGCTGCCATGTGATCTGAAATAGAAAGTGAACAGATTATTAGTCGCTGTCAGTTGCTAATGTGTGGATCAAAACAGTTGTAAAGCAAAAAATGACTTTGTTTTGGGATACCTTGTGCACTGCTACCATGTCAAAATATTGGTGGAAAAACATGAAGGACTCGCGGGTCCTACGGCGGAGCTGCCCGTCGTATACCTGAAAAAATGGGGCTGTCAGTGGAACCTCATCCACAGGCTCTGGGGCAAGAGCTGGGAAGTATGCGTATACCCATAACTGCAGGAAGAATGCAGAGGTATATAATCAATACAGTATGAACAGTTGTAGAAAGTACAAAGCAGAAAGCACATGTGTGAAATAGATGTAAAGCAAGAAATGCTGAGCAGAAAATGTAAAGTGTAAAGAAGGGAATTAAGATATGTACCTCCCAAGCTTGCCAATAGCCTTCAACCAAAGTCCTTCGCAAACAGGAGGAAGAGCTCATATATCCGTACAATGTGGTGAGGTCGGCTCCGCCCCAATCATAAAACTGAACTCGAGGAAGGACCACCAAGGCACTCAGCAAGTACAGGCTCACGATATTCCACTTGATTGAAAACAAGGTGTTACCGAAGATGAACATGAGGAAGCCTCTGGCATACTGCTCTATCTCCTCAATCGTCTCAGGCTCAATCTCCCTGAACTGCTGCTCAAACCAATTGTACCGCACCATACCCCGTCCGGTATATCGATGGATGTGCCCCAAGTAACTCGAGCCATGCTGCCTCCCACGCTCCCATATTAGGATCCAAAGGGATCGGATTGCCCCCTACGCCTAAGCCAGTGATCATGGCAAAGTCGTAGGGAGTCATCGTCATCTTCCCCGTGGTGGAAAAGTGGAAGGAATTGATGGTATCCCACCACTTCTCTACCAGTGCTCATCAAAGAGGACGGTTCGCTACAACCCAAGTCAAACTGGAGCAGAAGAGGCTGAAGCCTGTCTGATCAATGATGTCATGAACTCCAGCTGGGAGCTCGCCATACCAATCTCGAGCGGTTGTCGTACCGTAGCCCCTAAAGGCGCGAGACTTGCCCTGTGGTAATACATAAAGTGCGATCAGACCAATGCAATGCATGAAATGCAATCAGATAAAGGCAATGTATGAGATACAGTTAGATGATGGCAGCGCAAGAAATGCAACTAGTTAAGGGCAGTAAAGCATAGAAATAGTTTCATACCTCAACGGCAATGGCTGATAAATGAGACGCTGGCTCTCTCAACAAGAGGTCTTCTGGCGCATCCTCAATGAAAGCAATAAAAGTTCTGATGCCTTCCGCAATGGGTAATACGTGTGTTTGATGATGGTACCTCGCTGGATCAAAAGGCCATATACTCAATGGTAATGGCTCCGGCTCAGCTTCGAGCTCGGCCTCGAAGTCCGCCTCAAAATCTATTGGAGAAAGCTCCGGGGGAGCCCCATCATGAGGAATGTCGTCTACCATCCGGAAAGGAGGTGAGAAAGTGGGAGAAAATGAGGAAAATGGGTGGAGAATGCCAAAAGTAAAAAAAAGTCAACCCTAGGAAAAAGAAAATGGGAGAAAAAAGGTTAAGGCCCAAGAAAAGGCATAGAACCCAAGAGTAACTCGAAGGGAATAAACTTAGGATGGTGGAAATGAAGAAAGAAGTGTTGAAATCAAATTCCAATCGATTCAAAGTTAAGAGAACTAAGAGGATTTAGTTTGTGTGGTGTGTTGGAAAACGTGTGGAAAGCACAGATCTAGAGAAAATGAGTACCTTAAGAGAAAGAAAGAAGAGTTTCGGATGTGGGGTTGTGTGGAAATGAGGTGCCATGCCCTTTTTTTTAAATACATAAGCCAAAAAAACCCCTTTTGCCCTCGGCCTGCCATCGATGGCCGGCAAGGCACACTGGTGGCCGGCAGGTGGCCGGTGACTCCCTCTTGTGGCCGGCAAGTGTCCATGAGTCTTCTATAGGTCCTTAGTTCTATTCTGTGTTCTTAGATTTCAATAAGTAAAGGGAATGCTCAATGTTTGGCTCAAACTGCTTTTGCGGAAGCTTCAAACTATGTTTTCGATGCATGATGATTCATCGCTAATCAACATCAATGAGATGTATCCTTTGTAACTAGCTGCAACTCTTCTGAGAGGTAAATCAGAGGTTGCGATTGAGTCGGTTTTATTAAGCACGCTTTTGTCATCACATAGAACCTGTATTTCTTTGTCGTTGCATGGAACATGCATTTCACATGTGCATTTGCATAGAACATGCTTCTGTTTCACATTCGGATGGAGCATGTTTCCGTTTCCTATTCGCATAAAGCATGCATTTGGTGTTTTGCATTAAACATGCTGTTAATCTCGCATTGAACATGCATTTTCTACTATTAATCATCGCATGGAACATGCAACCTATACTGTTGCACAGAACATGCATTGGCTAATCTTGCATATGAATATGCATTTTGTGCTATTGATAGCTCATACATTTTTGTACTGTTGCATTGAATATGCATTCTGACGTTGCATAGAACATGCTCTCAAGTCATCACGCATAGAATATGTTGTTATAACATTCGAATAGAACATGCTTTGCTTATCTTGCGTAGAACATGTATTCTTGTTATATTATGCTTGTTAAGTTTCTTTCTTATGCACGCATGATATTGTAAGTACGGTTCATTCAGAGGAATTCCAGGTGAGATCATTCCTGTCCTTTGAATACCCTGTTTTGGTTATAGACATTTGGACGTGTTCCGATGTTTATACCACTCCCTATTTTGGTTAAAGACATTTGGACTTGTTTCGATGTTTATACCACTTCCTATTTTGGTTAAAGACAATTGGACGTGTTCCGATGTTTATACCACTCCCTGTTTTAGTTAGAAGCATTTTGGCGTATTATGATGTTTATACCACTACCTATTTTGGTTAGAAGCATTTGGACGTTGTAGACACCCCATTTTTGACCGCCCTTAAGACTTGGGCGTTACTGATGGTTTACTTGGTGGTAAAAGGTGTGCAGGGCAAAGGTTCAATTTCTTCAGTAATGAGAGAGTCAAATCCCAACTTCATACCCCTTTTGGACCAAAACAATCTTGATCAAAAGATTTTAGATCTTAAAACCCTCTCTTTCAAAATGTTTTGAAAATAAAGTTCCTATGATGTTCCAACGCTCGCATTTCGGTAAATGTTACGCTTTTCGGTAAACCGAGCAAGGACAAAGTAGAGATGAATGAAAGAGAGATGAAATCTTTGAAAAATCTTTCAAAACACTTTGTTTAGGGGTTTGGAGTTGAAGAAAAGAGGAAAGGAGAGAAGAAAACTAGTTTGGGAAAAGTTCGGCATGAATCTGGGAAGAAGAGAGTCGAGCAGCCCTCGCTGAATCACGTTTATTCATCTGCATACTTGGATTTTAGCTATGAGGTCACCACCGTTGGAAAGCTTACTTCCAGGGCTTCATTTTTCACTCAAGAATCTCCTAAAGCCAAGTCCGGGTGGAGAGATATGGTTGGTTGAAGTAGGGGATCAATCCGGTTGGATCAAATCTGCGTGGCTTCACCAAAACGGGTATAACTTTTTGCACAGGAGGAATTTTAATGCAAGGTTTGCGCCATTGGAAAGATAACTTCCGGGGCTTCAATCTGGACATCCACTGATCACTTTTTGGCCTTGGCAGCCATATACCGGCCACCAATTTAGCCGGCCGGCTAGCAAAATAGCAGGCCGACCATTTATAGTAGCCGACTGACCATTTATTTGGCCGATTGTCTCATTTTCTGGCCGGTACCTCCTTTTTTCCTTTTTCAGGCATGGTGCAAGCTAGCTGTGCCAGCTGGAGTGCACGGACCCTCCCCCCCATACACGTGTGTGGCTGTTTTAAACCTTTGCACCCTTTTACTCAAGCTTCTCATGGAAGCTTGACCTCTTTTGGGCTAGCTTCTTAAGGAAGCTTGACCCTTTGTCTTAGCTTCCTCAAGAAGCTTGGACCTTTGGATTAGCTTCCCTTGAAAGCTTGAACCCCTTGACCCTTTTATTTTAGCTTCTCTAAGAAGCTTGGAGCCATTACCTTGTCTATATAAGGAGACCTCCCCTCTCCTTTTAAGAGGTTGAGAAAAACCAGAGCAAAATACATATATATATATATATATCTGATATACACCTTTTCTCTCTATATCTCCATCTTTCTCTTCATTTGTGTG